CAATGACCTTTGGAAACCTTGCTATTTTATAGAATCCTTGCTGCAAATTATTGAGCCCTACAACATCATTAGGAAATGTTAAAAATTTAGACCTCAACATAGCATTGGCTTTTAAAACTTTCCAAACACATTTCCCAGCTGTAGATTTATGAATCCCAATGAAGTCTCCAACAGTGATTAACATATTTCCTGATGCTAAAAAGTGTAATGTTAATAACATCATATGCTCGGGAGTAATCGCATGATTTCTAAAAATTAAAAATAGTTTTTGTAAGATACGCCTTATATTTTACTTTGTATTAAGTTTTTAATTTCGTTTAACTTTAGCATACCTGTTGGTAGGAGATTGAATTTTATCCACAATTAATGCCAATATTACATTTACAACACGTTTTGATAGACGAAAACGATTATAAAATTCAATCTCATCCCAAGTACTGAAATGATCTAATCGGTTTCTATAAATTCGCTTTTTTTTTGGGCGATTCAATCGTTCAATAAAGTTAACAATGTCTTCATCGTCACTTGACAGTGATAAATCCGATATGTTAAGTATAATTTCATTCATTTTGAAAATTAAAACATACAAGTATAACACAATTACTTAATTTAACTTGAATAGTTGAATAGTTACAAAATATAGATTTGAAACAATTTTTACTTATAAAATCACACAACACAGTGATTATCATTGAGAAAATAAAACATAAATGACAGATAAACTCCACATTAGGTATGGTTTAGTTTAAGTAAAGCTTTTAGCATGTTAAGTATTACTTAAGTGTTAAAAGTATAATGAAGTTCGAATATATTAATTTAAGCTTAGCTTATGGTTAAGTTATAGCTTAAGTGGAATATGAAATACCGGCCCTTAGTAGTTTGTAGTAGTGAACGACGAACGTATATTATGTACCCGGTATACAGTATACAGTGTTACAGTGTAAAATGAACGATGAACGACGTCGTTCTTCTAATGGTGAACTAGTTCGAATCGTTCACTTCGGTGAATAGCAAACATTAGATTAAGATTAAAAAAATCTTGGTTGAATTGATTATTTCCCAATAGAACATCACTAGCCTGTTGCATATCTACAATTCTTGGCGTATTATCAACGTTATCAGGCATACTCCACTGGGATTGTCCTAGAGTAGAATTAAGACGACTTTCCTGATATGGACGGTACATTTTTTTTACGCTTGGCTGGTTTAGAAGGTCGGTCTGAATGTCTTGAATAGACTCAAGCTGTGAGCGGTTTCCCGATGTATTTTTTTTTTTCTATAAGCGTTTAGAACTACATTTTGAATTTGACTTCTGATTTCGAGTTTTTCTAAAGGATCAAATTCTTTTATGTATGGTAGGATACTGAGAAGAAATTGAGCGTCTGGGTCCTCATTTTTTTTATTTTCTGTCTCTTGTGCTTATTGCAGAATGGCAATTTTTTTTTCTTCTAGTTCTAAAAGTCTATGAGTAACATCTGCTTTACTATTTTTTTTCTTTCTTTTCATTTTTGAAGTAACCTTGGGATTAATATCGGGTAAATGTGACGTAGATGTAGACGGCGATGTCACATCAGTAAATGATGTACCCGTTACATCAAGGTCACTTTCATTGGCTTCATCAGTAGCTTCATGTAATGAAAATGAATCTGGTTCTCCAACATTTAAATTTCCGGACATAGAACTAGGAAGTAAAGAATCCTTCACAAACATCATCATTTGAAAAAATGGCCATTTAGATTTATATTCAATCCCGCTATCACCTGAACGTCTAATTGGTTCTTTCTGTAGTTCTTTTCTAAACGTATCCTTTGTGTTTTTCCATTTTATTTTTGCATCGCTCCCTAAAATTTGGATACAAAATAATTTAAAAACCATGTTTTTCACTTATTTTCTATGTCAAATAGGTATTGTTTTATGTTGGAACTTAGTTTTTTATAAAGCACTTTTTATAGGTAATGGTTTGTCGAATTAAATATATTATTATTAAAGATTCTGAGTGGAACAATGAGTATATTATTGATCTTACATTGATATGTATTTTTTTTTTAGTCTGTGTACACGGTAAGTTGTCGAATTACATAGTCACATCTTTTTTTTTAACTGTTTAAATTTCGAATTTTGACAATAAATTAATTTTAAAATTTAAAACAAGGTTCCACGTAAGTAGTTAACTCTACGGCAAAAAAATAAATCTAAAAACTATATAATCACAGTTTTTTTATAGTTATTTTAAGTTCAAATTTGGATGAAATTACATGTTAAATAATTAAGAAAAAAATTGTAATTATATTGTTGTAATTTAAAAATGAATGTGCACATAATAAATCTAATTTGAAATTAATAAATTTTAAATATTATAATTATTTAAATAAATTTACAGGTACATTTTTTTTTCCTGCAATAATAGAAATATAATTATTAATTAATATATTATAAACAATAAAATATCCTAGACTGACAAACCGTCTCCGTTCAGAATCGTTTTTCCTATTCAACGAGATTTTATGTCATTGAATTAAAATTTAACACCATCCATAACGGGGACCCACTTGTAAAGTTGTAACCTATTGTATAAAATGATTTTTTAATAATTAATAAATGTTTTTTTTCCATAGATATTTATCAACTGGTCTTTCTTTTCGGAACCTTGCTTTTTCAATGCGAATGGGTGCATGCACTGTTGCTAAAATTGTTCACGAGACTTGTCTAGTTATTTGGGAAGAACTCGTAAATGAATTTATACCAGTTCCTACAAAAGAACATTGGGAAAAAGTTAGTGTGGGTTACAATGACAAATGGGGCTTTCCAAATTGCATTGGCTCTATAGATGGCAAACATTGTCAGATTAAATGTCCCAAAAATTCAGGATCAAGTCACTTCAACTACTTAAAATATTTTTCACTAGTTTTACAAGGAGTTGCTGATGCGGATAAAAAATTTATAATAATTGATGTTGGTGCCAGAGGTAAACAGAGTGATGGTGGAACTTTTGCATCTTCTAAACTTTGTAATTTAATAAGCAATAATAATTTGAATGTACCACCAGAAAAACATTTACCTGGTACAAATATTAAAGTACCCTATGTTTTGATCGGAGACGAAGCTTATCCATTAAAGCCGTACTTAATGCGCCCATTTCCATCTCGAGTACTAAATCCAGCACGGGAATATTTCAATGAAAGATTATCAAGAGCACGCAAGTGCATTGAATGTACTTTCGGAATTCTACGCGCAAAATGGAGATTACTAGGGAAGGACATAGAAGTGAGCCCAAAAAAAGCAGTAGTAATTATTAAATGCATGTGTTTATTGCATAACATTATCAGAGAGAAAGACGGCAATAGTGATGTCGATTACTGCAATGTTATGATAGACCAACGAAACAATTGGGAAAATGAAGGTATGGATCATCCAGTACGAGGTGCAAATTCACTTCAAAGAGCGAAAGAAATAAGAAATGTATTTGTAGATTATTTTTTAAATAACCCATAATAAGGTAGTTCAAAAGTTTGCAAAACAGTTTTTTTTTAAATCTTAAAATTAAATAAGAACTTAAATTATACTGTTATAATTTAGTCAATAAATAACATAGATAATGATTATTTGTCATTTTGTATTATTATAATATTGTAAATAGTACAGTAGGTATTATAGAATATTATTAATTATATAATAATACCTATACTAAAACAAATTACAATAAAATACTTCGAGTAAAAATTTGTGAACATTTTACAGTCATCGAAAAATTGGTAGCTACGTAAAATATTAAAACAATATCTAATAATTAAGGACCGGATTTATATGCACAAAAAATCCTCAAAATATGCTTCTAAAAATGCTGTAATATGTTATAAAATATGTATTTATTTTTAAATATGTACTTAAATATGCACTTAAAATTTTGTTTAAAACTATGTAAAAATATGGAAATGTATTATGTAAAATTATTTAACAATATTTATTAATTAATATGGTATTAAAAAAGTATAAAAAAACTTTTAAAGTATTTTTTCGTCTTCAACGCCATTCAACATTCTGTATCTTTCTGTAATCTTATCTTTGGAAATAACGACCGGTGTCAATTTTATGGATTTGATGTGTCTGTGAACGTGAAAATACGACGAAAAACGAATATATGTGTTATAAATAATAATATGCACTTTAAAACTACAAATATGCATTCAATATGTATTTAATAGGTAAAAACGTTGAAATATGCAAAATATGCAAAATGAAATTGGTGTTATTTTAATAAGAGTGATCGAAATCGGGGAAAATTTTCATCAGATTTCAAAAAGCTTATTCCAATACATATATGCATTTGCATATAAATCCGGTCCCTACTAATAATAATTCAGCCGTTTACTATATATTTTTTTTTTTTTTACTATATTTTTAACCTCAAGTATTTTATTTTAGTAAATTATATTACCACAACAGTCGTAGTACAAGTGTACAACTAGTTCTGAGGCACGGATCCATATAATTTTAACAGGGGGTTTAACAGACAAAACAAATTATTACACCTTACACCTTTCGATATAACTAATAGAAGGTTATTTAATATTTTGAATACGTAAATATTCATCTTATTGTAGATAGGCCTAGACGAAAGGGATCCCCTCCCCCAACACCATGCTATGCATTGCCTTGGTATATGATATAATATTTTTTTATAAATTATATACAAGTCTATTGTTGTAAAAAGTTAATTATTCTAGTGATGATTTATAAATATTTTACATTAACATACTAAAACTGAATACCTATATTTTCAAAATATACATACCGGGTATTCCAACTAATTTTCCAATTTCACACCACAATTTTTTGTTTTTTTCGACATTTTTGTACTCAGGGTGAGTATCATCCCATAAAGATGGTCTGGTTTGTACTTCCGAAATTAAAATTTCTCGCATAGCATTATTAATATTTGATTTTGACATTATGAAGTATGAAATGAATACAGAGTAATTTACAAAATATGTGTTCACTACGAGCAGTATGAACTACAACTACAATGGTTTACCCATACTGCGTACTACTCAACAACAGAAATCTTCTGAACATATTTATCTATTATTTTGGAAACTTGGTACAATTCTTTAAATAGCAAAATAAACAAATTATAGTTGTTTTGACGTTCATCGAGTATTAAGACCAGAATTTTAATCATTAAGACTATTTTTACATTGAATCATATTATATTAATAAATAAAATATCATCATTAAAATAAATATTTCATGAGCGGCGAGCGGTGAAATTCAAACATGTTTGATTTGAGACACGCCGCGCCGCTACCGCTCGCCGCTGCCGCTCGACGCTAGTAACCAATGTACACATTCCTATTTAAATTATATGAGTTTAAATTTTTTTCCCAACGCGCCGCTCGACGCTCGCCGCTCGCCGCTCGCCAATGTACACGAGGCCTGATTGGGCGCTATAGAATAATAATGAGGTCTAAGAAATGGTATATGAAAATTTTTTACCATTTGGTTGATATGTCGATTGTAAACGCGTGGATGCTGTACAAAAAAGTTACAATATATTTTAAGAACTATAATAGTATATCATGTATTATTTTTGTTGGCTTTATAACTTATAAGTTTTATTTTCATTTCATATTTGACACCCACCCACCAATTACATTGAATTTTCTAGCAAAACCACCTTCAAAGTGGATATGAGATGATAAGTATTCAATTCAAGCACTGATTCATATATTTTTGAAGATAATATTGTCTTATAAATTATACTAATATTATTTAAAAATAATTTTTTTTTATTTTCTGAATAGTTATTAAGAAGAGTACTTATGTTACACACTACACAGGCATGTCAGGTATATCAGGTCTTACATTACCCTAACCTGTGTTGATGTACACATTTTTTTTTATTTTGTAAGTTTGTCAAACGAAGGCAACTACTGTACTAGTAAGTATAACTACACATGCGTGTACCCTACAATCTGTATCCAATACCTTTGAACAGACAGTTAATTATATTTTAAAATCAATGTTACCTTTGATAATAAATAAATTTGTCATTGGGACATTATGATGAACTGCAAATGATTTTATAAGTTGGAATCCTTCCTCAATTTTTGTAGCAGGTAAAAGATGTACACACATAAGCATTTTCAAAGCTTTCAATGCAGAGGAATTATGATGAACTGTGTCTAGAGTATAGGTTCTCAAACTTATTTCATCCACCGCCCACTTTGAGAATCAACAATTTTCTAGCGCCCCCCCCCCCCCAAAAAAAAAAAAAAAAAAAAAAAAAAAAAAAAA